TGTTGGCGAAAGGTGGCTGCAGGAAAACTGAGTAGGTCACTTTTACTGTAAGAGTTTCAATCAATGTCATGATTAGGTTACTTTCAGGAGCACCTAAAAAGTGCAAGAAAGAGGCTCCACAGTGGGATAGCTGTCCGTCCTTCCCAAATGGTTTAATGAATATTAGACAAAGCATTTGGAACTGTGTACACTTACACATTGGCTTGGCTGAAAATGCATGTTTAACCTTTTCACGCATAGTGTCCACACTCACTGACAGTCAATATAAGGCTCTTTTTTTATATATATATTTTAGGAAAATATGAATTGGAAATCACCTCCAGATAACTTAGTGTAAATTAAGGTAAACTTCTGTAGCTCTTTAGATCATTTGCTCTTCTCAATCTGTACTAACTTTCTACATCATTTTTTAAATAAATAAAATAAATAAATAAAAATAAAGTTTTGTTTTTTTTCCAGACTCAGCTGAAATCATTGGATTTTTAAAAACTATAGGAAGAATTTATTTATTTATTTATTTATTTATTTATTTACCTCTTTGCGTCATGCAACAGTCCTAAACTGTGTAAATTTTGTATGTTCAGAAATGATATTTTCTACAATGTTTGTCTTCAACATTATATATTTTAGACCTTAATGTTTTGGACGTTAGAAGATTTATCTATCTATATATATATTTATTTAATAGTAGTAGTAGTAGTAGTACTTTAAAGACAAATGTCAGCAAGCTTAAAGGCCATGGTTATAGCTGTGTTTGGATGTGAGAGAGAAAAGAATAAGAGTAATCATGGTGGCAGTGCATGGATATGGACCTGTTTGCTAAACCTCTGACTGTCAACTAGTGCAAAAGGACAAAAATGAGCAAGGAAGATCGTTTCCCAGCTCTGAAGAGACACAGTGAAGAGATCCACCTGTGGAATGAATTAGACTGCTGTGCTGAGGCGCTCCATGACAGAGGACGTGGCAGCCGCATCCCACCAGGCAGTGCGCACACAGCGCAACTTGAACTCCACACTACTGCTGCACAACTTTACACAACTGCTCATCAAGCCCAGCATCACACCATACACACTGCACTGCACCTCGATCACAATACTGATTATGTGCACATATATACTGTCATATCTCCAGTGTTATTACTGATACTTTTTTTTTTTTTTTTTTTTTTGCTGTGCCATATTCAGAGAAGTAACATCTGTTACAATCTCCTGCTGATCCACACGTTTCCGTTGCACTGCGTGTATTTAATTCCTCAAAGCACACATTTTCGACGGATATAAACTCCTCTCATGTCTAGCTGTGTCATATAATAAGCTACAGGTGTTTAAAACACTCATGTTAGCACGATAGCTTTTTAATCCCATCAACAGCACTGTATACTGTTCTGTCGCTGTAATCTATGCGAACATTATCACTTCTGAGGGGAAAAAAAGGCAAAAGGCTAATCAACAGGTGCGTTCTTTCACCATAACACTGAACATAAATATTTCTGAATGAAAAAGAAAATCTCAGATAGCCTACCAGAGCCACGGAGTCCATGGTGGTGTTTAGTGTTGACGTGGACAGCTTTGAGCTGTCACTACTGGAGCGCTCGTAAAAACCTCTGACTCATACAGGGGGTGGAGCAAATCCGCCAAAATGGCTAAATCCAACCCTGCGCACTAAACTACTAAATAGTATGCTCTAATAGATACTACACTGCGTGTGGTGACGTTTAGTACGGAAGTGCGTGGAACTAAAGCTAGCGAGTAAACGGAAGCCTTTGACTGTTTTACAACTGGTTTATACCACTTAACTGTAGAATGTTTAATATTTGCAGTTGAACGAAAGTGATAATGTTCATGTTTCCTGAATTAAAAAAAAAAAAAAAATTTAAACGGAAGTCAAACTGTGTTCTATTCGCCGCCATTTTGGATCTCGACTCCCTTGCAATCTGATGCCCGTATCACTCCGTCACAGAACCAGAATGGCGGCAGTTGCAGGTTAATGGAGGCCAGGGATTTGAGGAATATCTTCGATTGGTGTATGCTTTTTCTGACGCTGTTACCACATGAGCATTTTTGACTTAGCAGTATTTTAATGGCCGTAGTTAAGTAACTCAGTGCTTGGCAAATGTTGAGTGCTTTAATAAAGACTGGCACACGCCAATGTATCTTTGTAATTTAATATTACACTATTTAAAAATAGTTATAATCACTGTTTTAGGGTTTATATGTCTACATTAGGGAGACATGGTGGCTTAGTGGTTACCCCTGTTGCCTCACAACTCTGGGGTTGGGGGTTTGATTCCCACCTCTATCCCGCGTGCCCAGAGTTTACACAGGTTCGATTCCCACCTCTGCCCAGTGTGCACGGAGTTTGCAAGCTCTCCCTGGGCCTTGGGAGTTTCCTCCAGGTACTCTAGTTTCTTTCCCCAGTCCAATTAGGCTAATTGGCATTTCCAAATTATGTGAGTGTGTGTGCACTTGTGCCCTGTCCAGGGTGTCCCTTGCTTTGTGCCCCAAGTCCTCTGGGATAGACTCCAGGTTACCCTGCAGCCCTGTGTAGGATAAGTAGTACAGAGAATGGATGGATGTCTGCATTAGCTAACATCACTGGATTGTATGTGTACAGAAAAGAGAGACAGAGGATTCTGGGGTGACTACAGGACACAATAAATAGACGTCAAGCCAGCTACATCAACTTTTTTGAATGGGGGTGTTGCGCGCTTGTATTCGAGCACTTTATTTAGCCAGACATGTAGTAACCATACTGTGTAGCTTTCATCACCTGCTCCCGAAATGTACACAGCAGTCTTAGGAAGATTGACTGCCTTACTTATAACTCACCAATCACTTTTAACTAAACATAGCTTAGACACTTCCAAATCAACATAGAGAAAAGACTGGCCTACAAATACTTAAAGTCCTTTAAATTAGCATTTAATTGAAATGGCATAATTATTGCATAACAACTAGAACATCTGCAACAGGATCCCAAATGCCACAGAGATCTATCCTCATCTCACTAAGAGGGGTATCTTGCTCACCAGACACAAGGCTTTCATTTACATTACATTTACGGCATTTGTCAGACGCCCTTATCCAGAGCAACTTACATTTATTATTTTTTTTTTTTTAAATACAACTGAGCAGTTGAGGGTTAAGGGCCTTGCTCAAGGGCCCAGCAGTGGCAGTTTGGTGGTGCTGGGGATTGAACTCATGACCTGCCAATCAGTAGTTCCAATCAGTAGTCTAGTAGTCCAATGTCTTAACCACTGAGCTATCAATGCCCTCACTGCCCTTTCCTAACAAGACTATAATAATAAAGTGCTAATTTAAGTACTTCAGGAGGAGGTAGGTCTTTAGACAACATTTGAAGACTGCCAGCGACTCAGCTGATTAGATGGAAAGTTCATGTCACCGGTTATGGGCCAGAACAGAGAAGAGTCTTGAAGCATGCTTTCCTTGTACCCTGAGAGATGATGGGATCAGTCTAGCAGTGCTAGAGGATCAGAGGGAGTGTGGTGCAGTGCGGGGTTTCTCGCTGGAGAAGCTGGACAGGATGCTGGGACAGGGTGGGTGGCCTCACCACTGTATTCCTTTCCTCCTTTGTCTCTGATTCTGGTGTACTGATATCTTCCTCCCCCGCTATCCCAAATGGATGGAGAGATTTGGCACCCTCAGCGAGGTCACCTGTGCATTTGGTCCCATGGGATAGATTTACAAAATGTAGAAACACTCCTGAATACAAGAGCCTCTAGTACAACCAGCTTTGTATATCCTCAAGTGGAAGCTGTTCCCCAAATGGTATGCACCTCATTGACTGGATCTGCTGTATTGCCCGATTACCAAAATACTTCAGGAATTGCTAGACAGCAGCAAGTTCCCATTTATAAGGAAGGCATATGTGGCAGCCATTTCACAAATCACGACACCATGGATGGCATCTCTCTGGGGTCTCACAAAATTTTTTCCAACCTTCCTGAAAAAAAGGGGGCTCCTACGTCCTGCATGATTCCCCCAGAGCCCTATGTGGGATGCTTGTGCTAGAGTCCCTTAAGGCCTCTCCTTATGAGCCTATGCAGAATAGCAATCTGAAATGCAGGTCTCTAAAAATAGCTTTTTACTAGTGATTGCTTTAGCAAAATGAGTGTGAGAACTGCATGCTCTAGTGTGAAGCTCATCATGCATTCATTGGTAGCCAGATGACTCAGGGTGACCTTGTGGCTGAAGTCAGCAAAGTGCAAATTATATTACTCAATTTTGTAAATAAATCAATTGGCTTTGCAGGAGTCCATGAAGGAGACCATAACATGCCACTGTACAAGCAGCGTCTCCTCCTGATGGGCATTACTTTGAGGCTTGACTCTGAGGCTGCTACCTGGCCATCACTGTGCACTTTCTCAGGGATCAGTGGTGGCAGAGAGTGTGGTGATCATCTCTGAACACTTTTCTAGTTTGTCCTAAGGTTGTCAGTTCCTCAGGACATCATGGCGTATATTTTATAGGTGATTCACACCCATAGAGGTGGTTTAAGGTGGTGAAATACAACACTAGTTACATCTGTAACTGTGGTTACATGTCAGTAGGCGAATTGGGTGTATTCCTGCCTCACGCCCAGTGTTTCTGGGATAGGCTCCAGGTCCACCACAACCCTGATCCGGATAAAGTGGTTAATGAAAGTGAATGTAAAGTGTTATAACTTGCCCCAGTTTGTAGCAGGCCAATGTAAGTTTGTTTTTTTTTTTTTGGCGGTATGGTAAAGTGTAACAATCATACCCTATAGCCTACTTAAATCCATCCATTTTCTGTAACAGTTATCCTACATGGGGTTGCAGTGAGCCTGCTGGAGCCCATCCCAGGGGGACACGGTGCCAACCCATCACAGAGAACAATCACACACACACACACACACACACACCACAGACAATTTAGAGATGCCAATCAGCCTACAGTGTGTGTCTTTGGACTAGGGGAGGAAGCTAGGGGCAAGGAGAGCATGCAGGCTCCACATGTACAGGGCAGGGGTGGGAATTGAACCCCCAACCACAGGGGTAATGCATGTGTGCTAACCACTAATCCACCTTGCCCCCCTTAAATATAAAAAGTTATCATCATGATTGTGTAAATAGCTGGTAAAGGTAAAGATTTTAAAGAAATAAGTCAACTGTCACTAGTTTACTGTAAATGAGCAACAGCAGTAACACAATCCAGCCAGACTAACAGCCACGGGTTGTTATTGCTTAATATCGGTTGTTATCATTTAGTCAGCCAAATAGTTAAAAGTGGGTGCAGTGCTAACCGGACCAGATGTTCTTTCCCTGTTCCAAAAATCTAAACGGTGCATGTTTGTTTCCGGTTGTGTAAAACAAAGGCAAAACTGGCGAGTCCAACAGGGTTGTGTTATGGAGTGGAGGGGAGGGCTGATTACTGAGCAGCCACTCAGCACATAAATACACACCCCCTGTTACAGAGCGCAACACTAAAGCCAGCTCGCCGGTAGGAAGAGGAAAAAGCTGCCCTAACTTCTCATAGCTGGAACTCCTGTGACGAGGTAAGGAGCGCAGATTTATTATTTATATCGATCCCGGTTAGTTTATACTTTTCAGAGTGTGGGAAGGTCCTACAGCGCGCGACGCACGTAATACCAACTTAGTACGGGTGGAAAAGCTGAAAAGTTCAAGTTAAGTTTCAAAATAGTTGTAATAACACGTTTCAGTGGACAAAGGAACAATTAAGGACATTTTGTTTTCTTGAAGAGGTTGAACCATGCGTTCAGACTAGTCTCCTCAAGGCATTGTTGTAGCTCTAAGTGCTTCAAAACTAAACGCTTTTTTATTTCACTCCTTAATTTCCTAGTAATTTTGTTGAACACATTGTTCTATAGACACTGCATAGATCCTATGCATAGAAACATGTTGCAACTGTTTTCCTCATCCCAAATAAACTCTGTCACGTTCCTAAGTTACGAAAGGGAAGTTTGAGTTGAGTAACTGAATGACACACCAAGCCCAAACTGCCAGCTTTATTTCCCGGGAAGCGTTCAGGTTACGTCACGCGCTGAAACTCAACCGCCGCTGGAGATAAACAAAGAGGAGGTCAACGGGACACGACATCTGTCTTAATAACTCCTCTTCCCGGGCCTTGGCATGTTATTTTCGTGCAAAGTTCAAGATCACTGCTTTATCTTTCGTCTGTCAAATCTTTCTGGCAGATTCTAGACACGCCACGAGCTGGAAGCATTCCCATAAGGAAATCTACTAATGACCATATATGGAGGGCCATTACGTCATATTTGCATATGCATTTTAATTATATTCCTTAATAGATATATGTGTGACGTATGTGGCAAATTATTCGAAATAATCTCTTTTTTTTTTTAATAGATGGAATGTATCAACCCAAACCATACCATAAGTTCAACAAATTTATTATGTAGGTTATATGATATTTTGTAGGGTGGATGAATTTCAATAAAAATATAGTTTAGCACCATATTTAAATCAATTCAATATAACAGTTTAAAGGTGAGAGCATTGCCACCTCATGGTTCCAGGGTCCGCTATTTGATCCCAAGCTCGGGGTACCCTCTCTGAGGAGTTTTCCATGTTTTCCCTGTGTACATGTTGGTTTCCTCCAGTTTCCTTCCACCTCCCAAAAACATGCCAGTAGGTAGACTGGTGACTCTAAATTGCCCCTAGGTATGAATGAGTGTGTGAATGGGTTTGTGGATATAGTGCCAAAATGGCACCAAAATGGACTGGCGTCCCATTCAGGGTGTATTCCTTCCACATGCCTAGTGTTCCTGGGATAGGCTCCAGATCCACCGCAACCCTGCAGGATAAAGCGGTTAATGAAGATGTATGAGACTGTGTAAACAGTATCTTTATCTAGACTATCTATATATATTCATATATCATTCATTTACGTCCGTAAATTGTATGCAGATATGTTAACAAAATAAGTATCTTGAAATGTATGTCCCGATCATTTATGATATATAGTGTGTGCACATAGGGGCATATGTCAGCTTGCTGTGTTGGTTGTCAAAGCAGGAAAAAAAGAGGCAAATTTACAATGAACTCTGCGTGTTATCTAAATCATAATATTTTCCTTCATTTTAGGACATTGTGAGACACGTCACTTTCTGAAAAACAGGTTTGCTCATTGAAATCCACTACTGCATCCACCATACTGCTGAAAAAGATCCCTCCCCACTGTGTGTTTTCGAAGGGCCATGCAACCCCTGAAGAAGTACTTCACTGAAGGCCTAATTCAGGTGGCCATTGTCCTCAGTTTAGCTGGGATGCATGTAGATGTGGATCCTTATCTTCCTCCTCCACATAACATCAATATCCAAAGCCCAGATCTGACCCAGACCCAGTCCAACAACTTCCAGAACTCTCCAGAAGGATATGGTCTCCACTTGAAGAGCCCAGATCTGGAGGCCTATGTCCCAAGTCCCAGGTTGTTGCACTGGGTACGCTCTGTGCAGCACCTGCACATTCCAACAGCGTATCTCGAGGCCTGGCTGGTCCACAGCGAGTCTGACAACAGCGGGATGACTATACCTAGCCTAACTGGTTCCTGGGATGGTGGTGATGAGCTGGTGGACATGGAGGACTCAGCAGGTTTGACCATGAGGCTGGGAGGTGGAGGGATTGGAGAAATGGGGCATGATGCAGTTATGGATGATGGAAGTTTGGGGGTGGCGACCCCACTCTCAAGAAGTCAAATGGATAGTGAAGACATTAAAGAGGTAAGTAGCATATTGTAGATTGATGTTTACAAAATGGTGTATTTTTGCTTTTTAAAGTCTGATTTAAAAAAATGATAGTACAAGGCACTAATCATTCAGATTTCAGACTGAATCCAAAACCAGAAATACACCTGTCAGTAATTTATGCTTGCACTGTACCAGCAAGGTGCTCTAAATGCCTGTCATGCCTGGATTAACAGAAACTATTTTGATCATTTCCCTGTGATCGTCAGGTTACAAAAAAAGGTAGCTAATTTTAAGTCATTTTAAAAATGTATTTTATTTAAAAATTAATTTATTTGATGATTCATTGAGAATATTTTTGACACAATAACCTTTATTGTTGACCTGCACTCAACAAGTGTGATGTAAAAAAATAGATAAAAAATAATACGTACAATAAGCATAAAAATAAAATGGAGAATTGTAACTGGCTGGACTTTTTTTTAATAAAAAAAAAAATCTAGGAACAGACATGAACACTGGCTCCTTCTGATCTGCAACTATAAATGACTTATTGAGCAATACAGAACAAAAACATGAATATTTATTACGGTAGGACAGAGTCGTAGGCAACAGCAGTCAATGGGTACAATGCTGGCATGAACTCATCAGTGTAGGTCAAATATTTCCCTGCTACACAACAGCTGGATTCAGAAGTGATGGTCTGATCTTTGTGTTCAGAAGTGCTGTCAGTCATACAAGCAACACACACACACACACACACACAGATGTACAATAGAATCTTTATGGATTTCTGCTAGCAAATATATATATTTCATAAGCACATACAGTATATGTAAGTTTTTTAAAATTTCTTTTAGATTTCTTCTTGGTAGTATTGTAATATAATGTTTACACAAATTGCATGAATATTTAGCCACAGTTCTGAGGTTAATATATGTGTGAGACAGACTGAGTGGTACATGGTGACAGACAGTAACTCTGTGTCCAGACTGAAGGGGCTCAGGTCACTGCCCAAGTTGCAGCATGCATTTGGCTTTAAGCCCAAATTACTGGTGGGGAGTTTAGATCACAATTTTGCTTTCACTCCCTCCTCATGTGGAGAGCTGGGGGAATTTTGCCTCGTTTATCTTTGCCACCTTTCAGTTTCAATGCCAAAAATATCACAAATACATGCCTACAGATAATAGCACCCCTAGTGGCTCAACCTGCACACCATACAGAAGGCAGACTACATACTGCCTAGTGTCACGTGCTTGGGCCATATAAACAACCAAGACACATTTGAGAGGAAAAAACTAAAGCTCTCATTCTGATATATGAATTTCAGGTCTATTCTTACAAAAAGTCCTGTGATTTTCAAATCTATACAGTTATCAGTCCAGATCAGACAGGCTTGCCTGTACATGACCTACCAATCTATTTTTGGACTAAGGAACATGCTTGTTGACCTAGTACAGAAACAGTTGTTGGTTGTTATGATGTGTGCAACAAGCTGTCTTTTTATGTCACTTTTTAGAGTAAACATAGCAGCCTGTCTTATCGTTAATAATTTTCCTACAACTATATACATAATTATGGATGAAAACCATGTCAGTCTTTTACACTTATTTGCTTCTGTTGTCCATAACTGTAGTCTGTTTCCTGACCACCGGACCTGACAAAATGGACAGACTCTACACCAGCAGAACAGATGAGGAGGCTTAATTGAGACATTTGCTACCCCTCCTCTTCATATCCAAAATCCCCCTCACTGTCTGACTGCAGGCTTTAAAGGGGTTCTTAGGTTTACTAGGCAGGCTAGTTGTGACCTGTACCCTGAAGTATGGATTCAGTTTGGCATCAGAGCTTGTGTTTGTTTGCAGCACAGCTTGCTTGACCCCAGGCTGAGATGTTTTGTAACCTAAGGAGGCATCACTTGGACCAGCGCGTGTACAATCGCTTTTGCAATGCTTGTTTACCAGCTGATGATTAAGAAACTCTGAAGCTTCAGTATACTCTAATCCTCAAGACTCACAAATAGCAAAGACACTGCTAATCATTATTTCTAATTCAAACTTAGTCACCCATACAAGAATCTGAATTATACTTATTTAGCATTTAGGTCTGTCCAAGATAACAGTTGTGGTCTACTGGCTTGCAGATTCACTGGGTTAATCCATAGTGGGAAGGGGGTTTTCAAATCTAATTATATTACCCCAATGACACAAACAAGCTGTTACTTTCACTATGTCCTGGCCAGAAAGGTTGTTTATTTATAGGCAGTAGCTACATTTTAAAACATGTAAGAGAACACATGGGTAAGTATAGAAAAATAAGTGCTTGATTAATAAATTGCTTAATAAAAAGCTCCCGATTGACTAGATT